TTTATAATTAAGTGTTTTAAAGTGTTTTAAATTTGTTGTTAGCCGCCCTGAGCCCAGTTTTTGAATCGGAAGGGTGGGGCATAAATAAAAATTTATTATTATTATAAAAATAGCCAGTGGCCCATCCAGTCCAGGATCCTGTTCTCACAGTGGCCAGCCAGCTACCAAGAGGAAGCTTGCAAGTAAGACTTGAGCACAACAGCACTTTTCTTTCCTGTGGTTTCCAGCAACTGGTATTCAGAAGCATATGGCAGCAACAGTGGAAGAAGTATCACCACCACCAGTAGCAATTTTCCTCCACAGAATCTAGGAAGGTATGTCACATGGTTTATTGGCTGCATAGACCCATGTGATTCATTCTCAGCAAACAAAAATTTGTAATTAGTGAGCATAAGATATACTGTAAATGTAGGATGAAAATCCCAGGTATTGTATTGAATGACACGCTGTAAATGTTTGAGCAAAATAAATTAATATTTTGGTAATGGTTGATGGTTCTCCTCTCACTGTGTGATAACCAGCTGTTGCATCACACTGAACTTGCACAAATTGCTCTTTTCTTCCTCCCCTCTGCACTCTGAAGAGTTGTGAATTCCAAGCTTTGCGGAGAAACATTCAGAAGCTGGTACAGTGGTACCTTGGGTTACATACGCTTCAGATTACATACGCTTCAGGTTACAGACTCCGCTAACTCAGAAATAGTACCTCGGGTTAAGAATTTTGCTTCAGGATGAGAACAGAAATTGTGCTCTGGCAGCACGGCGGCAGCGGGAGGCCCCATTAGCTAAAGTGGTGCTTCAGGTTAAGAACAGTTTCAGGTTAAGAATGGACCTTCGGAATAAATTAAGTACGTAACTAGAGGTACCACTGTATAGGGTTGGATCCAGACTTGACCATGCTTAGACTAAACCCATTGGAATCAATGGGACTCGAGTCAGTCATAACTATCTTTCCTCACTGACCTCAAAAGGTCTACTCTAAGCACATCTACATCATGATACAACCCATAGATTATGGGGAACCTGTGACCCTCCAGATGTGATGGACTTGAAGTGTCACCATCCTTGAACACTGGCTAAGTTAGGTGGGACTGATGGGAGATGAAACCCAATGGCATCTGCTGTGTTTCCCCATCTTTGCTGTAGAGGATACCATCCCTTCAAACAAAGGAAGATAGTGCTAGTTAACATTCCACTAACCTCTGTCACTTAATTAAAAACCAACTGCAAACAAACATTGCTGGAAATTAAGAAGCAATTAAGCTGAGTAATAGACTAATGTAGGGATGCTGTGGCTGTTGGACTAATGAGGAGACAACTTCCAAGCATTACTTGATTTGAGCTTCAACGTCTCTCATCCAAATTGTGGCGTAATAAATAATGGTTCTGCTTAACCTTCTTCTTCCTGTACGGAGATGCCCAGCAAGCTGTTCTGCCTCACTCATAGAGATAAATCAAAATTAAAAATAAAATAAAAAAACCCTTCCCTCCTCCTTTCCCCTTCATTATTTGTTTCTGTCATAACCATCAGCTCCCAAACAGAGTGGATATCAAAGTGAATCAAAGGGTAGCTTTCAAACATGTTCAAACAACTATGTTCTGCAGAAACTGAACCTTGTAGAATGCATTCTTTGCTGTATTGTTTCTTTTCATCTTTCCATTCATTTATTTCTTTATATTTCAGAACGAGGAGTACTTTTATTTATTTATTTTCCCACTCACTCTTCTGTTTTGATCTCTCTTTTTTTTTTTTTTTAAAGGCGGAAAGGTTTCTCAGTGGAGCAAATATGGCTGCTAGACATTAAGTAGCACTCAATAAAATTGGAAGATTTGGCGAAGGCAAAAGGAAGCTCTTCTTCACATGGTACCTTCTGAAACAATGGCATTTGACCTCACATGATGCCATGGAGGCCAGGGACATGGATGGCTTTAAGAGGGAGCCGGATAAATTGGTGGAGGACAAGGCTTACCAATGGCTACTACCCATGATAGGTATATAGGCTATCTCCAGCAGTGTGCTGCCTCCAAATACTAGTTTCTGGAGAACATAAAAGGGGAAACTGCTGCTGCATTCAGGTCTGGCTTGTGGGCTTCCCTCAGGCACATGCTTGGCCACTATATCAACAGAATGCTGGACTAGGTCAGCCTTTGGTCTGATTCAACAGCGACCATCCTTTCTAATTTTCCAACACTGACTGAAAAGGGAGGAGAAAAATTTAAATACGTTCATGGACAAGTTCCAGAGGTGAAGCTGTGCTAGTGTGCTGCAGCAGAAGCAATTATCCTTGTGGCATATTAAAGGATTTATTGTGGCATAAGCTCTAATGGATCCGAGTCCATGAAGTATCATAAAGCAGAGGTGTGCATCAGCTCAGGTGCGCCCAGGATAACAAGGCAAACTGGGGTGCTTTGGGGCAACCCTCCAAGTTAACAAGTCTGTTCATGCTGTTAACAAGGCATGTTGTAGTGGATCAGCAAGTACCCAACCTTCTAAGTAGATCTGCTGCTTCAGTTTTTCCATGGTTGAACCCACAGTCATTTCCCCCTTTCTTTTCTGATGAATGAAACCAATCTGACTGAGGAAATGGCTGTAGTTCAAGAGTGGAGGGGGCAGATGCATTTTTTGGGGGGGCAGTTTCTTTCATTTTTATGGGCAGCCTTGTGTAGCTTTGAGCTGTGATCATAGAATCATGGAGGTAGAAGGGACCATAAGGATCAATTGGTCCAACCCCCTGCAATGCTGAAATATTTTGCCCATGTGGGGCTCAAACCCTTGACCCTGAGCTTAAAATTATCACGTTCTACCAACTGAGGTATCCCAGGTCTTCAGTTACAATCACAGTTAATTCTTTCCCAAGTGTACCCTATGAGGAAAGATTGCATTGTTCAGGACGCTGGACTAAGTGGACCCTTGGCCTTATTGAGCAGATTCTGTTTTACGTTCTTAAATTAGGACATGCGCTCACCTGATCAATCCCCTCCAGCTAGATTTTAAAAGTCACGAGGCTGGAGAGAGCAAGTAAATAGGCTGCATTCCTTCCGTGGCTCAGGGGCTGCCACAGCGAAGGTCTTCTCCCAGGCTGCCACCAACACAATCTTAGGAAGGTGGTAGTACTAATAAGACATGGCAGCCCTCCAGATATTTTAAGAAAGCTATCATGTCCCTTCACCTCAGTCTACAACCTATTCTCATATGACATCCCCCCTTTTTTATTTAAGGCTCCTCGTTGTTTTTATTGTGGTTTCAGAAGAGAATATTGAGTGAGGTTTTTGGGTGCATGTATGTGTCTGTGCCAAAGAGGGTTGAAGAAGAGTTGAAATGTCTAAACAAAAGTCCGTCCAACTGAAGCTTGAGAGGAGTTGAAAGGCTGATGAAGAGGAGAGGGTGAATTAGATCGGAATGCTTTCCACACCCCTGAGGCTATGCAGGAAATTACTTGCATGGAATGTAAATCCTTTCAAAATATTTCAAGTCACTACAAAGTGACCTCTCGCCTCCCCCTCTCCCTTGAGTCAGATTTACTAGCTATGCTCTTACGGTTGGTAATATCCCTATGAGGCACACATGCCCTATACTAGTCTTTGCCAACCTGGTGCCCTCCAGATACTTTGGACTACAGCTCATAGAATTGTAGAATTGTAGGGCTGGAAGGGACCCAAGGGAACATTAGTCCGACCTCCTGCAGTGCAGTCATAACAACTAAAGAACCCCTGGCTGATGGCAATCTAATGTCTTTCTGCAGTGATAGAGATACAGCTGATGGGAGGTGTTGCCTAAAACAAGGGTCAGAATTGGTGTGTGTGTGTTTGTGTACACATATATATAAGGGATGCGGGTGGTGCTGTGGTCTAAACCACTGAGCCTCTTGGGCTTGCCGATCAGAAGGTTGGCGGTTCAAATCCACACAACAGGGTGAGCTCCCGCTGCTCTGTCCCAGCTCCTGCCTACCTAGCAGTTTGAAAGCATACCAGTGCAAGTAGATAAATAGGTATCGCTGCAGCGGGAAGGTAAATAGTGTTTCCGTGTGCTCTGGTTTTTGTTATGGTGTCCTGTTGCATCAGAAGCAGTTTAGCCATGCTGGCCACATGACCCGGAAAGCTGTCTGTGGACAACCGCCAGCTCCCTCAGCCTGAAAGCGAGATGAGTGCCACAACCCCATAGTCGCCTTTGATTGGACTTAACCATCCAGGGGTCCTTTACCTTTACCTTTTATTATCTATCTATCATCTATCTTGTTAGATAAATTGATTTATTGCTCAGATAAGCCTGAGGTCCGGCACGCTTCCCCATCGCGGGCCTCTGCATTCCAAAATCCGATACTTCTGAGCATAGCAGAGTTGAGATCAACAGCGGCTAGAGGAAGCTGCAAAACAAAACTCCAGTGCCTTCTTCAGTGTGCTTAAATAAAGTCCACACAGGATCTTAGCAGCTAAAAGCAGTTTTATTTACAGCAGGCTATCCATTATCTATCACAGCGAACAGCATCGCGAAAACACGTCCTCTCTCCTCAAAAGCGAAAGTAGAGAGAAAGAACAAAGGCTTTAGCCTCTCGGAAATGACACAGCATTTCCCCCCTCCTTTCCACAGTACGCAGAGCGTACACTCTGAGCTGTTTAACCCTGTAAGCTCAGGTTCTTCTCACATATCTATCTATCTATCTATCTATCTATCTATCTATCTATCTGAGAGAGAGCTTTGCAATGTCCACACTCTCTATATTCAAATGAACTTTACTTTCATAAACATATTACTGAGAAGAACATATCTACAATCTCACAGTTTTCACCCTATTAACATTTAGGGATCTTCATCTGTGTGCTTCACCCCAGGCAGACCACTCTGACACACCATCCTCAGCTGCATCCAAGGAAACCTCTCTCAGAAGCCATTCTCCCTCTCACACACAGAGAAGAACAGAAAACAATTAAAAATGACAGTTACTTGAATAACAGTCACACCAGAATGGAATGCCTCTCTCATGTGACTCGCAGTCAGCCAGTCACAAGACGGAGCTACCCGATGCTAAAAATATGCAGCAATTCAACATAAGCAACATTCCCATTTCAGGAAATTAAACCATTATCCTTAAGAAGAATAGGGCAACCAACCTGATTGATGGGATGGAGTGCCACTCCTGTGAGGAAACATTGCAGCTTCTGGAACTTTTTAAGTTTAGAGAAAAGGCAGCTAAGAGGTGATATGATAGATGTGCATGAAATTATACATTGCATGGAGAAAGTAGATATTGGGGGGGGGGGAGAGAAATCCTCCTCTCTCCTAACCCTAGAACTTGTGAACATCCAATGAAGATTAGTGGCAGAAAAGGGAAGTACCTAGTTAAGCACAGGTTCAGACTGTGGAACTTGCTCACACAGGAGGCAAATGATGACCACCAATTTGGATAGCTTTAAAGAAGAGTATTGGGCAAATTCATGGGGGATAAGGCTATCAACGGTTGCAAGCCATGATGAAGGCTATGGTTGGAGGCACCAATGTTTCAGAATTTCAGTTACTGGGAACCACAGAAGGATAGAGTGCACAGGTCCTGCTTGTGAGTGTTGGAGCCTCCGTACAACCGAGCTGAAATGGCTATTCCTCTGGCCGTATCTTCGGAATCCCCTCCGACGGTGATTAACAACCTAAGCCTTTGCATGAGGCTTCAGGCACGCTCCCCATTCCGCAGAGTACCCAGACAGCAGCAGAAATATGTGCTACATTGCTACGTTTATTTCTAACTACGCAGGACAGAAAGAATATGCATCTGCTCTCTGTGAGAGTCAGAAAACAACACAGGAACAAAGAAACAGGAAACCAGTAACATCAACATCCATCTCCCGTGAGACTGCCAACAGTCTGGAATGTCAACAGAGTCTTGTGACTCCAAGAACTGCACAGTGGCATAACAGAAACCTAACAGTGAGTTTCCTACAGGTATCTGGTAAGCCACTGGACTAAATATATAGGCCATTGGCCTGATCCAGCAAGATCTTATTTTGTTCTTATCTGGAAGACACCATGTTGGTGAACGCTGCCTTATGCAGTCAACTCTCTCCCTCCCCACGCGCACAATTCAGCAGCAGCAGCAGCAGGAGGCAAATTCAGCAATGTGTATAGCAACTGACAGAGCTGTGTAACAATATTGTCCAATTTCCCAGAGAAGTGGTCAACCTGTCTACAAAATCTAACCTGTAATAACTCTGAGTTGATCCAATTTGTTTCCTTTTCTTTCTTTCTTTCTGGTCCTGAAGGAAAGTACAATTATTTTTGAAGCTATGCCTTACAGTAGACCTGCACAACTCGCAACCCACCAAGCCTAGCACTGCATGTATCGTGACCTTTCAGGAGGTGGGTACTCCCCTCTTGTTTTCAGTCCTAGGAAAACAGCAAAATAAGGGAGTTTATTGAGTTTATGTTGGGCTGACACATATTACTGATAACCCTCCATCAGGGTCAAGTCAGAGAGGCATATGCAGGGAGCATAATGTGATTTTTCTTGCATATCATCACTCTATGAATAGCACTGCATAAAAGAAAAGTTGCAATCCAGTTATGATCGACAAAAGAGCAACATTTGCATGCAAAAAGACCGAAGCCAACAAGGAAAAGTTGTTTTTAAAAGTCCAAAAAAATATATCTCTATTACAAATAAAACAAAATAAATATATTTGGAATAATTTTCAATCCAGAAATAAGAAGAGGTCACTGGGGCCCTGATGAAAAAGCATATCTTCTTTAATTTATATTTATTTCAGTAATAATAATAATAATTACAAACTATGCTTGCATCAAATTATAGTTTGTACAGGCAGCAAAACTGGAGCTAATGGCAAATGAGGAAAGCCTGCCTTTGGGCATGCTATTTGAATATTTTGCTTTCAACCTTTCCTTGATGGTTTTATTGATGTAGGTTTTGTTTTATTTGTATCTGTCACAGTTAAACATTCCTGTTTAGGGAAGTTTCTGAGTATTTTTGCCACCCAAATTTCTCCCCAGATTTTGGTGTTCTGAGCTACCTGGACTTATTATTAATGAGGAACCAACCAATGCATCAGAAAATATCATTTTCCTCTTTTTAAAAATTTCCTATTTTTATGCTGAGTACTGTGCATGAAAAGATTGCTGCTCTCCGCCCCACCAAACAACACTACATTATTACAATACATGACTGCACTGATAAAGCACTGCAGAAAGAGAAATCCATTTTGAGCCAGCCAAATTGCATGATTGTGTCAACATTCTTTTGGTGTAGGGTTTTACACACACACACTTGTACACATTGATAAAACACTGCAAAGAGACAGATCAAGCAATACATGTTTGTACTGATCCATGTTTGTGGATCTACCAGCAGCGGAGCCCAGAACCTGTTCCCTGAGAACCCCAAGGAGACATCTCTGCCACTGGACTCTGAGGGCTGGACCACAAAGCTTTCCTCAAAGTCCCTAAAACGTGAAAGCCTTCTGCGAGGAAGAAGCCAAAAGCTGTGGAGAAAGGCACCATCCCTTAAACTAGCTAGATGCAACACTCATGGAGCTCTGCTTTCATCTTGATTACCTAGCCCAGACTGCAAAACTCTGCCGGTTACTCAAAAACATTGGTGAGACTAGTACTTGTTTTATTTTTCTTTATCAGCTGCAGTGCTGCTGTCCATGGTCCTGATCTTAGCTTAAACTTCCAGAATCCTGCGCCTACTCATCTGCCATCAACTTGCCTTGGTGGTGGACATCATGATCGATCATAACTTGATTAGAAAGCACAATCACTCCACCTCTATTTGCCTTTTGCGCAAAACCAACTTCATTAGTGGTCACTGCCATAGAGATGTTTTCCCATCACTGGCATCACTGCAGTATTTCTGAGTGGGGTGTGGGCCGGGGTGGAGAGAGGGCAGTGGGAAAGTTCAGGCTAGATGAACACACCAGTGGAGCCAATCCAGTGGTCCCTCCAGTTTATCCTCAGTATGCGGAGTGTGTATGTATAGTCTTTTTGCCAGAGAAACGTGACTCAAAGAAGTAGGAGACCCAGGGTTCGCTCTGATTGTTTAGAAATACACAATCGCTTTGAGGTCCTCTCCCCTAGCATGGAAGACGAAGAGCAGACTCCATTTGAGGATCTCTCCCTCATTACAGTCAATCAGGTATATGAAGACGAGCAGCAAAGTCAGTCCTCAGGGAATGTGCAGGCGACCTTGGAATGGACAGCTCACGGAAGAACCCCGACCAAACCTAAGAGGAGGCGTGTAGTGGTGATAGGGGATTCCCTACTGAGGGGAACAGAAGTAGTGATCTGTGGGCCTGACAAGATGTCTTGGGAAGTGTGCTGTCTCCCCGGGGCTAAGATCCAAGATGTAACTGAACGACTGCAAGGAATCATAAAACCCACTGACAAATACCCCTTCCTCTTGGTTCATGTGGGAACCAATGACACTGCAAGCAATAGCCTCCAGAAGATCAAAAGAGACTACGAGGCTCTGGGCAGGAAGTTGAAGCAATTAAATGCACAAATTGTCATCTCATCTGTCCTCCCAGTTGAACGACGTGGCCCAGGGAGAGAGGGAAAATAGTGGAAGTGAACAGCTGGCTTCGCAAATGGTGTAAACAGGAACGGTTTGGATTCTTAGATCACGGACTGCAGTTTCTTGAAGATGGACTTCTGGCAAGCGATGGGCTGCACCTCACAACGGTTGGGAGAAATGTTTTTGCCAAAAATCTCAGAAACCTCATCAGGAGGGCTTTAAACTGACTAATGTGGGGAGGGAGACAGTGCTCCTGAAGGTAGGAGTCTATCAATTGATGAAGATGATCATCCAAATGTCATAGACCAAATGGAGCAAACAGCACGCAGACCTAGTGGTGGGAGGAAAAAATCCTTAAATAAGAGACACGGGGGAATGATCAATGGACTTCAATGTCTGTACACTAGTGCGCAAAGCATGGGAAATAAACAAGATGAGCTTGAGCTCTTGGTACAGCAAACTAAATATGACATAATAGGCATCACTGAAACCTGGTGGGATAAGTCCCACGATTGGAATGTAATAATGGGGGGATACAATCTATTTCAGAGAAACAGACCAGACAAGAAAGGAGGAGGTGTGGCGTTATATGTCAGGGATGTGTATACCTGTGAAGAGATCCAAGATTTAGAACCTCAAAGCCAAAGTGAGAGCATTTGGGTCAAAATTAAGGGAGAGAAGAATAACAGTGACCTCATTGTGGGAGTTTACTATAGATCCTCAAGCCAAACGGAGGACATAGATGATGCCTTCCTGGAACAGATGGCCAAGCATGCAAAAGGAAGGGAGATAGTAGTAATGGGGGACTTCAATTACCCGGATATTTGTTGGATGTCAAACTCAGCCAAGAGCATAAGGTCAAACAGATTCCTCACTGGCCTTGCAGACAACTTCATTGTCCAGAAAGTGGGAGAAGCAACAAGAGGAACAGCCATTTTAGATCTGGTCCTAACCAATGTTGATGACCTGGTTAGTGGGGTAGAAGTGGAAGGATCATTAGGCGCGAGTGATCATGCTCTTCTGAAGTTTACTATACAGCGGAAAGGAGCAGCCAAGCATACTAGGACTCAATTTCTTGACTTTAAGAAAGCCGACTTCATAAAACTTAGGGAAGTGCTGGGTGAGATCCCATGGACAGTAATACTAAAAGGAAAGGGAGTTCATGATGGCTGGGAGTTTGTTAAGAGGGAGATACTAAAAGCACAACGTCAGGCAATACCAATGAGATGGTAACATGGAAGGTGCCTAAAGAAGCCAGGGTGGCTATCTAAAGAACTTTTAACTGAGTTAAGATTAAAAAAAGGATGTGTACAAAAAATGGAAAAAGGGGAAACCACCAAAGAGGAATTCAAACAAATAGCCAGCACGTGTAGACACAAAGTCAGAAAAGCTAAAGCACAGAATGAACTCAGGCTTGCTAGAGAGGTTAAAAGCAAAAAAAAAGGCTTTTATGGGTATGTTCGTAGCAAAAGGAAGAACAAAGAAACAGTTGGGTCACTCAGAGGAGAAGATGGTGAAATGCAAACAGGGGACACAGAAAGGGCTGAACTCCTCAATGCCTTCTTTGCCTCAGTCTTCTCCGATAAAGAAAACAATGCCCGACCTGAAGAATTTGGAGCAAATGATTCAGCAAAGGAAACACAGCCCAGAATAACTAAGGAGATAGTACAAGAATACTTGGCTAGTTTAGATGTATTCAAGTCTCCAGGGCCAGATGAACTGCATCCAAGAGTATTAAAAGAACTGGCAGATGTGATCTCAGAACCACTGGCAGTCATCTTTGAGAATTCCTGGAGAACAGGCGAAGTCCCGGCAGACTGGAGGAGAGCAAATGTTGTCCCTATTTTCAAAAAAGGGGAAAAGAGAGGACCCAAATAATTACCGCCCAGTCAGTCTGACATCAATACCAGGGAAGATTCTGGAGCAGATCATTAAGCAAACAGTCTTTGAGCACCTAGAAAGGAATGCTGTGATCACCAATAGTCAGCATGGATTTCTGAAAAATAAGTCATGTCAGACTAACCTGATCTCTTTTTTTTGACAGAATTACAAGCCTGGTAGATGAAGGGAACGCAGTGGATGTAGCCTACCTTGATTTCAGCAAGGCATTTGACAAGGTGCCCCATGATATTCTTGTAAAGAAGCTGGTAAAATGCGGTCTTGACTATGCTACCACTCAGTGGATTTGTAACTGGCTGACTGACCGAACCCAAAGGGTGCTCATCAATGGTTCCTCTTCATCCTGGAGAAGAGTGACTAGAGGGGTGCCACAGGGTTCTGTCTTGGGCCCGGTCTTATTCAACATCTTTATCAACGACTTGGATGATGGACTCAAGGGCATCCTGATCAAATTTGCAGATGACACCAAACTGGGAGGGGTGGCTAACACCCCAGAGGACAGGATCACACTTCAAAATGACCTTGACAGATTAGAGAACTGGGCCAAAACAAACAAGATGAATTTTAACAGGGAGAAATGTAAAGTATTGCACTTGGGCAAAAAAATGAGAGGCACAAATACAAGATGGGGGACACCTGGCTTGAGAGCAGTACATGTGAAAAGGATCTAGGAGTCTTGGTTGACCACAAACTTGACATGAGCCAACAGTGTGACGCGGCAGCTAAAAAAGCCAATGCAATTCTGGGCTGCATCAATAGGAGTATAGCATCTAGATCAAGGGAAGTAATAGTGCCACTGTATTCTGCTCTGGTCAGACCTCACCTGGAGTACTGTGTCCAGTTCTGGGCACCACAGTTCAAGAAGGACACTGACAAACTGGAACGTGTCCAGAGGTGGGCAACCAAAATGGTCAAAGGCCTGGAAACGATGCCTTATGAGGAACGGCTAAAGGAGCTGGGCACGTTTATCCTGGAGAAGAGGAGGTTAAGGGGTGATATGATAGCCATGTTCAAATATATAAAAGGATGTCACATAGAGGAGGGAGAAAGGTTGTTTTCTGCTGCTCCAGAGAAGCGGACACGGAGCAATGGATCCAAACTACAAGAAAGAAGATTCCACCTAAACATTAGGAAGAACTTCCTGACAGTAAGAGCTGTTGGACAGTGGAATTTGCTGCCAAGGAGTGTGGTGGAGTCTCCTTCTTTGGAGGTCTTTAAGCAGAGGCTTGACAACCATATGTCAGGAGTGCTCTGATGGTGTTTCCTGCTTGGCAGGGGGTTGGACTCGATGGCCCTTGTGGTCTCTTCCAACTCTATGATTCTATGATTCTATGATCTGAGGGAAATGAATAAAGCTGATAGCACTAGATGACCCTCATGATCCCTTCCAACTCTAAAAGTCTGTGATTTTCTGATTTAGTGACATTTCTCAGGATGGGGAAAGACCATAGTTCAGTGGCAGAGCATCTGCTTTGTATACAGAAGCCCCCAGGTTAATTTCCCAGCACCTCCTAGTTCAACAGGGACAATTATGGCCCCCTTGAGAGCCAGCATAGAAAATCATGGGCTAGATGGCCCAGTGGTTTAACTCCACATAAGGTAGCTTCTTGTACAGTCATACCTCGAGTTGAATGTGCTTCGGGTTGAGCGCATTCGAGTTGCACTCCGTGGCAACCCAGAAGTAACAGAGTGCGTTACTTCCAGGTTTCGCCCCTCGCGCATGTGCAGACGCTCAAAATGACGTCACGCGCATGCGCGGAAATGGCAAAACATGACCTGCGCATGCACAGACGCGCCGTCGCATCTTGTGTTCCGTTCAGGGTGTGAACGGTGCTCCGGAACGGATCCCGTTCGCATCCCAAGGTACCACTGTATTCCTATTCCACACACTTTGTCATCCAAAGTGAAATCTGAAGCAAATTTGCAGGTACCTCAAGCAACAGATGTGAATAATTTCACTGATTACCCAAAGAGCTTGGATGAGTCTAGAAAAATTTTATCAGGGCAGTTTATGACCTTTGACTAGTTATCTTTTGTAGCTTATTAATGTGCCACCTCCAAAATAGGTTGATTCCTAAGTACCCCGCTTCTTGCACATCTCTCTCTCTCTCTCTCTCTCTCTCTCTCTCACACACACACACACACACACACACACACCATTGTTCACTTGTATCAGGGCTGGGCCATGAGCAACATTCTGAGGTAAGTCCGGACCAAAGACTAAATCAGAAGCAAATTATAATCTGACATCCCAGGATTCAGGAAGACCATGTTGCTCAAGCAAGGGTCGACTAGAGCAGGAAGTTGCTTCATGGTCCTTCATGTGGGGCAGGATCCAATAGCCAATCTGGGTGAACAGAGTCAGACCAGAACCTGAAGGAACTTCACTGAGAAACTTTCATCTGCAGTTCAGGGACTCCCCACTTGGGGCAGCCCACAGATCCCAGCCGCTCCTGCCAAACTAACAGAAGTTAGAAGTTTCCTCCTCATTAAAGTTAACTTCCTTTTTTAAGTGGAGGGTTGCCTCGTAACTCATTAACAACTCCAAAAAAACCACTTTGGAAGGCAGTCTAAACTGTCTGGCAAAGGCAGACATTTGGGAATCCATTCCTTCTCTTAATGTGATGCATTTTCCAAACAGAGCTTCGATCTATTTAACAAGGACTGTCCAGTGGTCACAGAGCCCATTAAAGGAAGTCTCAGAAGTGCAGTCTCTGACCGCTGAAAAGTTAAGTGCCCTTTCCAGGAGCATTAAGGAAATCCCTGCAATGCCTGAATGGTTTGCTGAAAAACGTGGGAGCTTCACTTGACAAATAAGGTGAAAATATAATAAACTTTGTGGCGACGTAGTGCAACAGTTGTCTGGTTGGTATTTCATTCTTTTGGCATGCTCCTCCTAGATGTCACACTGCCTTTTCCATTATTACCCTCCAAGTTTTGTTGTACAGATCAGCCAAATAACTTTGTTATTACAAAGCGTTGGCAAGAGTGTGTAGAGGACTGGTCTACTGCTAGCAGCTCTTGCAGGGCATTATGAATCTCTGTTCACTTTGATCAACAGGCAGGATGCATCCCTGCTTCATGGAATCACCAAGTAAACAATTTCAGGAGAAAAGACACTGCTGAAGCTCAGGAAACTTGTGGAATCTGAGGGTTTCCTGAATGCCATTGTGGTTTTTCCAATGAGCATGTGTGATGATCCCCGAGGGGAGCATTCCGCAAATGGGGAGCCACCACAGAAAAGGCCCGTTCTCGTGTTGCCACCCTCCAGAGTTTACGTGGAGGCAGTACACAGAGAAGAGCCTCAGATGATGAACGCAGAGTCTGGGATGATTTATAAGGGGAGAAGCAATACTTGAGCGGTTAAAGGCTTTTTAGGTCAAAACCAGCACTTTGAATTGGGCCCAGAAACTAATTGGCAGGCAGTGCAGTTCGGCCAGGATTGTTAGTCCTCTGAGGCTTGCAGAAGGAAGGAAATTTTTAAAACCTCAAGCAGGGCCAGTGCGTCCCGTTTTGCCACATGAAGTGAAATGGGAAGTTCTGTCCTTTGCTACCTCTGCCACCTGCGCCACCCACCCTGCTGTCAGGAGCTCAGCCTACACTTGAGTAGGACCCTGGTAGAGACACATGCCCAACTGGCATGTTCTCTCCCTCCTGGTCAATCGTTCGGGAGCTTCAAAAGCTTTCTTCAGCCTGAACATCACAGCAACCAATGCCAACTGACACCGGTACACTTAGGGATCTGTAGAGTTTGCACATCGACTGTAACAGACCTCAGCAACTCAGCATTTTGGCTAATCTACTTTATATACCTATAAGCACACACGGAGCACTGCAACATGGCTCCCTCTCTCTCTAGCATCAGACAGCAAAGAGAAAAAGAACAAAGTCCCACTTCACGGAACACAGTAACGCAAATATCCTGTCTCCATCACTTCCCACTCTGTGGAGTCAAAACATACACCTATATGTGATAGAAAAAATTCCCATGACTGCAATCATTGAGCAGGAATTCTAACACCTGTCACCTCAGCTACTGGCAGAGAAGCAGCACCAGCACGGATTTCAAGTGAGGTTACACTGATTTCTGGCAAGATCTTGTAGATGCCACCCTCATGTTTCTTGGTGGTCCTATTTTGGCTCTAGTCCTGTTGACACTCACCACTAGAGTTTGCTGTTGGAGGGAGGGGTGCTGGAAATAATCTGGCTATGATCAGCATCCAGCGAGGACTTCGGTCTGTGAAAACTATCATTGTCTAATGCAACTGGCCTGCTTTAAATGAGCTGAAATCTGCATCGGTTCTGAAAGCCTTTCCCAACAATTGCACCACAAAGCACTTCCTTAAATATGAGACATTGAAAGTTGCTAGGACAATAGCCTGCTACTGGAGTAAAATAACTGCCTTTTCAGCTTATTTGAATGATGGAAGCAAAGTCATGAAAAGGTACAATTTCAATCTTGATTTAGAAACAGAGTCGCAGCGTAGCATTTACTGTGAAGGGAAAAAATGCCATAAATGAAGAGGAGAGCAGGTAATAGCTTTTCTCTTCGCACATAATACCACCTTGTGGGATTGTAAAGTTAGTTAGCCACATTTCAGCAGAAATACCAAGTGCGTGCAGCAGCCAGGCAACTGCCGAATTATAGTTAATTGTAGTCTCTCCAGTTGGCTGACTATTTTTAGAATTTCTTGCAGTATAATCATAAATATCGTTCACCATAGCTCTTCTATGGCTCTTTTAGAAAGAGGAAAATAAAAGTACCACATGCCAAACTTCAGTGGGCCTTCTCTGTTTCTAGGCCTTTGGGGCCTTGATGGAGTTCTGCTTACTTAAGTGGATGAGTAATTTTTCTTTAGCAAATGTCAAACTTTAGGGAATATCAGTCAGAGCTGGTGGTGAGGTTGGGCATTTGCCGAGACCCCAAGGCCAATTGCAGATCCGCTGTTCTAGCAGTGCTGCTATTATTTATTTATTAATTAAATGAATTTATATACAGCTTATAAATAAATAAATCTATATGGTGACATCATTTCATCAGCAACCAAACACTGTTCTCATGCTTTCAATGGATGGCAGTGATCTTTGCTGTTAATGAAGCAGGCAGAGCTCCTTGTTGCTTTGTGGATTTTTAAATAAATTATATGCATTATGACTTTCCTGTATTTTTGACCTATGTTTATGATCTTAAAAATGTAAATCACCTAGGGACATATTTGTGTGTAACTGGGTAGCTAACAAGTTCAAATGGTGGTGGTGATGATGATGCAATTTAAGAAATAGGACTCCCCACCCCATTCTCTTCAAAAACAAATATCAAAAGAAACTATGCCAACAGAGACTGGGCAGAAAGGGGCAAAACCAGGGGAGAGACCAAGGAGACAACCTCCTGTTGCAGAGTGGGGAGTCCTTAGAGGGTTTAATGGCTACTGCCCATAATGGCTGCACTTGTCTCCACTTGTCAGAGACCGTAAGAAGAGTTTGGATTTGATATCCCGCTTTATCACTACCCTAAGGAGTCTCAAAGCAGCTAACATTCTCCTTTCCCTTCCTCCCCCACAACAAACACTCTGTGAGGTGAGTGGGGCTGAGAGACTTCAGAGAAGTGTGACTGGCCCAAGGTCACCCAGCAGCTGCATGTGGAGGAGCGGAGACACGAACCTGGTTCACCAGATTACAAGTCTACCGCTCTTAACCACTATACCACACTGGAGTAAAGCTTCTGAATGTCAGTTGCTGGAAACCACAAGATGGGAGAAGGCTCTTGTGTTCCTTTGGTCTTCCCACAGGCACCTGGTTGGCCACTGTGAGAACAGGATGCGGGACTAGATGGGCTATTGGCCTGATCCTGCAGGCTCTCCTTATGTTTTTAATTAATGTGTCCAATTGCAATGTCAGCATATGCCCTGGGAGTTATTCAGCTGGTAAAGTGCTGGAAACTCCCCCATCCCTTTGACAAAGGGAGGAATGTTTGCCATGCCCATCTATACAGCAAGGGCCACCCAATGTGCCTCCATCAAATTTATAGCCAGTGTTGTTGATTCACCTTCCCAAAACTGATAACCATTTTGAGGAGATTATAGTGCAAGTTTAAAGCTGCACTGCTTATGCACACATATATACACATGCCCTCTTGAATATTTCCTGTACTTTTTGGTACAAATTGGTGCTCGGGAGACTGCTACTCACTGACAGCTCTCATCTGGCTTCAAGTTGGGTCCTTTAATGCATTTTCTTCAATGGTCTCCTGGCTTTGTTAATTTTACTTTATAGCTTCATATACTACCCCCTTTTCTTTCTGCAAACCCTTCTTTTGTCAGAGTTACTGTTCCGTCTTACGCTCACTGTCTCCCTCAGGCTCTTCTGATGTCTTATTAGCCCTGGCCTTCATCTTTCCTCCTCCTCCACCTTTTATCTGTGGGAAGATTAAAGTGTGCTTTCAACTGGTTTGATACATTTGGGAAGGAGAGGAATCAAAAAGAGAGAGAATTGCACGGGGCATGGAGGTTTCTTTGCAACTTGAGGTGTTTCCTGAAGAGGGCCCTACGCGATCACTACTTGGCGAGGAGACAGTAAACATGGAGAAGATCGTAGCCAGTACTGAGTTCAGCAGTTTGTGGCAACACCAAGGAGATTTAGGATGATTTGTTATTTACACAGTAATGTCAACGTATGTGGTATTTTCAGAGGTTTGGGGAAAGGTCACAGGCAGAAGTCTGAGGTGAGCAAGAAGTATGCCATGGAACCAGTCAGTAATCAGGAACACGAGCAATTGGAACTGTAGGACAAACTACCCTGAGGCAGGTCTGTTTGCGAAGTGAGCCGAAAGCTTAGCCCAAAGAGCCTGTGAGGACTGAAGAGTAGAGTTGAGAAGGTCAAGGGCTGAAGAACTACCAAAGGATTCAGAAACACACCAGAGCTCAGAAAGGGCTTGCTGCTAAAGCAACTTTCAGCTGGAAGAGGACATCTTCTGATACTCATTCCTGCCCAGGAGGATCCAATGTTCTGGCTGAGTTGCTGGACTTCACCCAGGGCTGGAAGGAACTGTGCTGAGAAACTGCCACCTGCATTTCAAATATCCTTCACACAGCCTCCATCTGAACTGAATTTTGCTCTCCATTTTGTGGAAGGCAAGAGGGGGTGGAGCTTAACACACATCACACATTCACCACTTTGAGGGCATATCGGTTTTACAAAATAAACAAACAAATTCTCCCCTGTTTTCTCCACTCATGTGTTGACTTTTACACATGAGTAAGTGGCTCAGGATGTCCTCAGTGTATCAAAAGCAAAATAACAACACCATCAAAGAGCACATGAATGGTGCTTACATTCAAGGAACTAAGAGTAGCATTCAACTAAGTTTTACTTTGAGTTGCCCTATTGAAATTAGAGAACATAAGTAACTTAGGTGCTTTAATTTTTATAGGTCTACTCTGAGTAACACTTAATGCAATACCACCACTGGAGTTGCCAGGGGTCTAATCTGGTACATTCTGCATGCATAACAGCTGTTCTACCATTGAACTACCACAGCTAGGGATTTGCAGACCATTCTCCCCCCATTCGTTTTTGTCAGAATTATCTAAACTTTTCTTGCTTTCTGTTCACATTCTTCAGATTTCCACCTGAAGAGGAATGCAAAACTTTACTTTGAATTTAGCTGTTGGAAACACTTTGCTGGCAGCTCTACCTGATAACAAATGAGAACAGTAAGTAGGGTATTGGTGACGTTCCTTTCATGTTTCTCCTTGTGCTAAATACTTCACATTTCCCTCATTGCATTTTACTTCTCCAC